GCTGGTTTTTCATGCTCCAGAGGCTTCAGGGAAGCTCCTGAAGCCTCTTCAGGGCCTACGGGGGACAGGAGGCTGTTTTCACCCTCCCCAGGCTCCTATAAAGCCTCTGGAGCCTGGGGAGGGTGAAAAAAGCACACAAAAAATGAGTGGGAATGCTGGTTGTGCGCACATGCGCACTGAGATTGTGCGCATAGCATGGGTGTGGCACAACCATGCCCGCCCCCCCCCCTTCGCTCCCCCACTTTTGGCACGCAAGCCAAAAAAGGTTCGCCATCACTAATTTAAAGGTCTGACACATATGCATCTCTTGTTGAAGCAGCAAGTAACTATATTGAATTCTGTGGTATAGTGCAATATTAATGCAATATCAGGCTTTCAATTTCATAGAATGTGAATGATGTGTTTTTATTATTTTAGTTATAATGTACACTGAAGATGGCATTTAACTTCGTTGTACGATGTGCAATGAAAATAAAGTAAACTAAACTAAGTGAAGACTGGCCAGATAATATTTCGACCATTTTTGGCTGGCATGCCCCTTGTGACCATTTCTAGAATGGACAACAACAGTCCACTCACACTGTCATTAATTTATAGTTAGATTACTACAATATGCTATAGNATCTTAGTTTTCTTAATGTTGAGTTTCAAGCCAACTTTTGCACTCTTCTTCTTCACCCACATCAAGAGGCTCTTTGGTTCCCCTTCATTTTCTGCCATTAGAGTGGTATCATCTGCATATCTGTGGTTGTTGATATTTCTCCCGGAAATCTTAATTCCAACTTTTGATTCATCTAGCCCTGTCTTTCTCATGATGTGCTCTGCATATAAGTTAAATAGGAAGGACAACAGTATACAGCCTTGCTGGACTCCTTTCCAATTTTGAATCAATCAGTGGCTTCATGTCCAGTTCTCACTGTTGCTTCTTGACCTGCATATAGGTTTATGAAGAGACAAATAAGATGGTCTGGTATTCCCACGTCTTTAAAAACTTGCCACAATTTGTTGCGATCCACACAATCAAAGGCTTTAGCATAGTCAATTAAACATGTTTTTCTGGGACTCCCTAGTTTTCTCCATGATCCAGAGTACATTGGCAACTTGAACTCTAGTTCCCCTGCCTCTTTGAAATCCTGCCTGTACTTCTGGTAGTTCTCGATTCACATAGAACTGGAACCTAGCTTGTAGGATTTTGAGCATCACTTTACTGGCATGTAAAATGAGTACAATGGTGCGATAGTTTGAACATTCTTTGGCATTGCCTTTCTTTGGAATTGGAAGGTAAACTGACCTTTTTGAATCCTGTGGCCACTGTTGAGTTTTTCAAAATTGCTGGCAAATTGGGTCCAGCACTTTTACTGCATCATCTTTTAAGATTTTGTATAGCTCAGCTGGAATACTATCACCTCCACTAGCTTTGTTGTTGCTCAGATTTCCTAAGGCCTATTTGACTTCACATTCTAGGATGTCTGGCTCTAGAACCACCCCATCGTGGTTATCAGGAATGTTAATCTTGTTCTTGTATAGTTCTTCTGTAATTTTTCCACCTCTTCTTAATCTTGTCTGTCTCTATTAGGTACCTGCCATTTCGGTCTTTTATCATGCCCATCTTTGCATGAAACGTTCCCTTCATATCTCCAATTTTCTTGAAGAGATCTCTGGTCCTCCCTAGTCTATTGTTTTCTTCTATTTCTTTGCACTGTTCATTTAAGAAGTTATTCCAATCTCTTCTAGCTATTCTCTGGAATTCTGCACTCAAGTGGGTGTTGTTAAGTAAGCTCCCCGTTGGGAGAGCGAGTACATTCANAGATGGAAAACTTGGCCAATTAGTAGGAGGGAAACACACCAGCCACTCGGTCTTATCCGGATTGAGAACAAGCTTGTTAGATGATCCAGGGAAGGCCTGAGGGAAGCTCCAGACACACCAGAAAAAAAAGGGGAGGCAAATAAAGACAAGAGAAATGAACTGGTCTGGGTGAGTTGAGGCATCTGGGTGAGTGACCAGAACAGGCAGATAGCCAGGACAAAATCTAGAGCAAGAGACTCTGAAAAATTAGACCAGTGTCTTCGAATTCCCAAGGAGAAATGGACAAATGGATCTGGACTTTTGTGCCCTTTCAGAGTAGCCCTTCGCAAAAAAAATAAAAAAGACCCATTAAAGAAGCAATCTTCTTCCAATAATATAGGACGACACATTTACTTAACGACTTGTGGTTGGTTTAACAATCACAGCAAAAATGGTCATAAAACGGGCAAGTGATTCACTTCACAAATGCATTGCTTGGTGACTGAAATTCTAGTCCCAAAAGTTGTTGCCAGTTGAGGACAATATGCACCGCTGAAAAGGGAAATGCACAAAATAAATCCCGAGGGAAAGAATTAAGGCAGAGTGAAAAAAAAAAAACTTTTAGTGGCACGATAGTATGCATAGGAACCAAGGAATGGTGAGTATATTTTCAAGTGAAAAGCAAAGGGAAAAAATATCCCGCCAAATGATATGGCCTATAGATAAGCTGGCTAATCTTCTTAGAGGGACATTGTACATACAGCACTACTTTGGATGCAGATCCAAAATGCTGTGGATGCGATGATGATCTAACTACTAGAGTTAAAAGAGGCCAGTTCAGCGTTGGGCCCTAAACTCTATTCCACGGAGGAATCTTTATCATCTTTATTGTCATTGTACTTAAATACAATGGAATCTGAATTTTTTAAAAATCTAACATATATTTTATGTATTATTTTCTCATTCAGGAATTCAAGATGGTATACAAAACATTCCTATCATTGTGTATAGGTAGTCCTCAACTTAAAGGTAAAGGTTCCCCTTGCATATATGTGCTAGTCGTTCCCGACTCTAGGGGGCGGTGCTCATCTCAGTTTCAAAGTGGAAGAGCCAGTGCTGTCCAAAAAAGTCTCCATGGTCATGTGGCTGGCACGACTAAAGGCACATGGAACGCTGTTACCTTCCCACCAAAGGTGGTTCCTATTTTTCTACTTGCATTTTTTTACATACTTTCAAACTGCTAACTTGGCAGAAGCTGGGACAAGTAACAGCAGCTCACTCCAATACGCTGTGCTAGGGATTCGAACCACTGACCTGCCGACCTTTCTGATTGACAAGATCAGTGTCTTAACCACTGAGCCACCATGTCCCTTATTGCCTGAAATTAGGCATGGAATTTCAGAGTCTCTACACCTTCACTTTTATAGCTTTCATTTTCTGTGAAGATTTCCAAAAGTATTTTAACATAATCTTGGGGCAGTTCAGAACCTATTAACTTCAGCTTGGCACATGGCTGATGGTGTTTTGACTGGTTTTTTTTTAAAGGGGAGGGCAGAGATCCATTTCCCCCAGGCACCTTAAAAGGATAAACCAATGTTCAGATCAATCATTTTTAATGTAAAACTGATCAGTAAGTTTAATGCCAAGGCATTCCCTACAAATGTTCCCACAGAATGAAGTACTGAATTAAAAATAACTTTAAAAAGTTCCTTGGCATAGAATACAGGAAAAAGAAAGTATGAACATTCAGATGAATATTTGGCCCGCATAGCTCTCCAGTTTTTTAAAAAAGGACCTTGACTTTGACCTCGTTCAACAGAAGTAACTGATAAGGATCTATGCGTCCTAATCGACAACTACCTAAGTATGAGACAGCAGTGTGCTGCATCTGCAGAAAAAGCCAATGCGGCCCTTTTCTGCATCAACAGTGAATACCAAGATCACAAGATGTGTCCGTGCTGCATTATATTGCACTGGTAAGACTACACTTGGAATATTGCATCCACATTTGGGCACCATGATACAGAAAAGATATTGAGACTCTAGAAACAGTGCAGAGAAGAGCAACAAAGATGACTAGGGGACTGGTTATGTGTATAAAATATAAGATGAATATAATATAAATATAAGAGTTACAGGAACTGGATATGTCTAATCTACCACAGAGAAGGGCTAAGGGTGACTAGCAGTCTTTCAATATTTGAATGGATGGCGCATAAAATAGGTGGTCTATCTATTCTCTAAAGCACGTGAGAGATGGACAATAAGTAACAGAGGGAGAGTTATCAAAAAGAGATCCAACGTAGAATTAAGGAGAAATCTCCTGTCTGTGAGAACAATTGATCAGTGGAACGGCTTGCCTCTAGAAATTATGAAATCACTGAAGGTTTTTAAGAGGAGACTGGACAGCCATTTGTCTAGAATGGCCTAAGGCCGAGGTGGCGCAGTGGTTAGGGTGCAGTACTGCAGGCCACTTCAGCTGACTGTTATCTGCAGTTCAGCGGTTCTAATCTCACTGGCTCAAGGTTGACTCAGCCTTCCATCCTTCCAAGGTGGGTGAAATGAGGATCCAGACTGTGGGGGCGATATGCTGACTCTGTAAACCGCTTAGAGAGGGCTGAAAGCCCTATGAAGCGGTATATAAGTCTAACTGCTATTGCTATTGCTATTCAGGGAGCCAGTGAAAATGAGAAAATGCCTGAGGGGACTCAGTGAGGGAAGGAAAGACCTAGTGGGAGCCTTTTGGGGAGGAAAAAGCATGGGGATGACCAAGAGTTAGGAATCAAAGCACCGGGTGTCTCTGAGGGTAAGGCAGACCTAGGGAGGCAATCCTGGTCCCGCGCTATGCCTCAAAGAAATTCCCACAATCCTGAGGTAGCCAGTGTTCTTGCGTACCGACTCGTACATTTGTGTAATGGCTGCATCACGAAAATCGGGGAGTGGGGTAGTTAACCAGCACTCTTGCATAACAGCCATTGCAAAATGCAACCATAATTGGCAGTTCCCATTAAATTTGTATGTCTAGGACTAATTGTATGCTGGCTTGGGAATTGTGGGACTCAAAATATGGAGGACACCAAAAAAGAAGGCTGAAATTTGACATGTGGAAATTCCAAAATCAATATACAAAAAAACACACACACCCCCCCCAAACACTGTGCAAAACCCTTTTTGAGGAATTCCACAACTTCTGCAAAAGAAAACATAAAAGTAACTTTTGCTGAAAAGGGAAACAGGAGTTAGCCTTTATGAAAGTAGCCTTTTCCATTTTTTTCCCTCTCAATCTACAAATCTAATCCTAAGAGATGTTGACTAAAAAGAATCAGGCCAGAAGCCAAATAGTCAATTTCCCACCTATACTCCCAATTGGAAATCAGAAACAAAATTCAAGACTTTTCTAAATTCATCAATGTTTGCCTCATATGGATTTCCTTGTGTGCAATAAAGGATGATTTATGCCTGAAGTACCGTCCACAGACTGAGCATCTGAACGGTTTCTCCCCTGTGTGTAAACCTACATGACTTAGAAGACTAGACCTACTACTAAAATCTTTTCCACAATCCGGACACTCATACGGTTTCTCTCCTGTGTGAGTCCTCTGGTGAATCACCAGGCTAGAATTCTGACTGAAAAGTTTTCCACAATCAGGACATTCAAAGGGTTTCTCTCCTGTGTGAATCCTTTGATGTCTCACCAGGTTGGAATTCTGACTGAAACCTTTGCCACAATCAGGACATTCAAAAGGTTTCTCTCCTGTGTGACTCCTCTGGTGTATTGCCAGGTCAGAACAGTGACTGAAGCTTTTTCCACAATCTGGACACTCATATGGTTTATCTCCTGTATGAGTCCTCTGGTGTTTCACCAGGTTGAAATTCAGACTGAAAGTTTTTCCACAGTCACGACATTCAAAGGGTTTCTCTCCTGTGTGGGTCCTCTGGTGTTTCACCAGGTTGGAATTTTGACTAAAAGTTTTCCCACAATCAGGACATTCAAAGGGTTTCTCTCCTGTGTGGGTCCTCTGGTGTTTCACCAGGTCAGAACTGTAACTGAAACATTTACCACACTCCAGACACTCATATGGTTTTTCTCCTGTGTGAGTCCTCTGGTGTTTCATCAGATCAGAACGGTAACTGAAAGTTTTCCCACACTCTTGACATTCATAGGGTTTTTCTCCTCTGTGAATCCTCTGGTGTATCACCAGGTCGGAATTCAGACTGAAACTTTTTCCACAATCTGAACATTCATATGGTTTCTCTCTTGTGTGAATTCTCTGGTGTTTCACCAGATTGGAATTCTTACTGAAACATTTCCCACAATCAAGACATTCATATGGTTTCTCTCCTGTGTGAGTCCTCTGGTGTATTACCAAATGGGAATTTTGACTGAAACTTTTTCCACAATCAGGACATTCAAAGGGTTTCTCTCCTGTGTGAATCCTCTGGTGTATCACCAGATTGGAATTCAAACTGAAACTTTTTCCACAATCAGGACATTCAAATGGTTTCTCTCCTGTGTGGGTCCTCTGGTGTTTCAACAGGCTGGAATTCTGACTGAAACGTTTCCCACAATCAGCACATTCAAAAGGTTTCTCTCCTGTGTGAGTCCTCTGGTGTATCACCAGGTGGGAATTTGCAATGAAACCTTTCCCACAATCAGGACACATATATGATTTCTTTCCTGTGTACGTCCTGTATGTCATTGGATCAAAACTTTTACTACAATTAGGGTATTCTGTGTGAATCCTCTGATGTTTCATCATGCTATATTTCTGTCTGAAACATTTCCCACAATCAGAACATTCAAAAGGTTTCTCTCCTGTGTGAGTCCTCTGATGTATCACTAGAAGGGAATTTGCCGTAAAACTTTTTCCACAATCAGGACACACATGTGATTTCTTTTCTGTGTATGTCCTGCGGTATATCACCAGGTGGGTATTCGGATCAAAACTTTTACTACAACCAGGGTATTCAAATGATTTCACTTCTGTGTGAGTCCTCTGGTGTTTCATCATGCTAGATTTCTGACTAAAACGTTTCCCACAATCAGCACATTCAAAGGGTTTCTCTCCAATGTGAGACTTCTGGTGTATCACCAAGTGGGAATTTGTCATAAAACTTTTCCCACAAATAGGACAGTCACAGAGTTTCTCCCTGATGTGAATCTGCTGATGTATCTCCAGTTTGTCATTTTTGCTAAAGCATTTACCACATTCGGAGCACTTGTAGGGCATCTCTCCTGTGTGGGTCCTTCCATGATCCACAAGGGAGCTGTTCTGACCTAAGATTTTGTCACTTTCAGATAATTTGTATGGCTCTTCTCCAGAATGGATTGTGTTGTCCATAATCAGCTCTGATTTGCAATCTGTTCTTTGTCCATAATAGGCAGGTCTGTGCAACTTTTTCAACACTGATATTCTTGAAGAGGTCAAAAGTATGTGTGATCCTTGTTGGATGCAGCTTTGGTTCAAGTTATTGTTTTCTTCCTTACAGGGTGAATCCTCCATTATTGTCTGCCCTATGTGGCTTCCCAATTGACCTTTTCCTCCAGATATTGACTGACTTCCAGATATTTCACTCTTTTTCTAAATGGAAAAATAATCTCCCTTGACTTTTCATGTAATGCTTCCTTGTGTTCCTTGTACTCTATTTATTCCAGCTTGAAATCTATGTTGATTTTCTCTCTTTTGATTATCACCTTCTGAGGAGAATTGTATATTTTTCTAAAGGAAATGGAAGATATTTTGATTTCTGGATTGATTTGCTTTCCTTTTCAAAGTTGCTTGTTATTCTAAGTTGTCCAGAGTGCTCTTGTTGGCATCCTCTTTTTCTGTAAGATTCAAATAAAAATGTAACATTAATTATTTATAAAATGGTTGAAGAATGTGTGAAAAAAAATACATATTATAAGTAAATAGCAATCATGCCACAATGATAAAATAATCTCTTACATTAATTATGATTGATTTGACCTATTAAAGATTACAGCAATCCAAATTCAAATATCCATTCAATCATGAAATACACTTGTTGACTTAGAATTACAAATTCTTAGCAATGCAATTATTGGGTATAATCTCTGTAATTAAGATAAATGTTTTTACCAAAGATGATTTACTGTTATAGACTTTACCAAAACTTGTAACTGATACTCCATTTAAACAATAGACATCTGTAAGTTTATATGGCAAGGGGAAAAACCAAGAATTAAATATAAATTATCACAAGATGCTAAGGGAAGAGGAGGTTTGGGCTTACCAGATTTGCAATTGTATTTTGATAGTCGTTGTTTTTTCTCGGAAAAAGAGTGTGACTCTCCAAAATAAGAGGTTATTGAGCTACGGGGCCATGAATCAAGATTTAGATGGCATAGCTATTTATGGGTTGATAAGCTTAAATCAAATTTTTATTTTAATAATTACTTTTTTATACATACAATCCTAAGAGTGTGGAATAAATGTAAAGTAAGGTTCTCTGCAAATATGTCCTTTTGGGTATTTCCCCCCCTGGAAGCTTTTTTTTAGAAAAGAAATAGTGGCGAGGCCAGACTGATAAGACTTATGGTCAAATAATAGCTTTCAATTATGGTGACCCTATCCTCAAGTCTACAGAGAAGTTGGAATAAGAAGGGTGTGTTTGCCATTGATTTACATATTTGAAATTGAATAAAAAAAGTTTAAACTAGACAAAAAGAGATATGGATTTGAATTTGCAAAAAATGAATTGGAAATTCTATTGTGTGGTAGTGATGAACAAAATATTACTAAAATTTATAAATTATTATTGAAATTGAACTTTGAGAATGAGTATGTAAAGCACTGTATGATTCAGTAGGAAAAGAACTTGGACATAATATAATACTTGAATAATGGAAGAATGTGGATGAAAGGTCTAAAATCACATTAAAATATAATTCAAAAGAAAACTTTTATAAGATGATGCACTCTTGGTATCTGATACCAAACCAATTCTCAAGAATCTATAAAAGCACCTCAAATAAGTGTTGGAAATATAAATGTAAAGAAGGAATTTTTTTATCATAAAATTAATAACGACTGAAATGTACTAACAGAAAGATACAAACTATTCAAAAGAAACAGACTTAACATTATTGCATTATATGTTAGAGGTCATTATACCTCTGCAAAGTTGGACAAAACTAAGGATGAAAGCTGCCTCGAATGCATTGTGATATGTGTACTACAGGCCGAAGCAGAAAAAATAGATGAACTATTTTCTAATCAATTAGGAAACACATCAGAGTAGTAATGGGAGAATTTAACTACCCTGATATCAACTGGGAGAAAATCTCAGCAACAAGTTGGGAATCGAATAGGTTCCTAACCAACCTAGTTGACAACTTTGTCACCCAAAAGATAGAGGAGGCAGTAAGAGGGGACAGCTGTACTGGACCTTATTCTTACCAACAGAGAAGAGGTGATAGAGGGAGTTGAAGTTGCTGGAACTTTGGGAGACAATGACCATGTCATATTGGAATTCAATATAAAACAGACGCAAGCAACAGAACATAATCAAATTGGAGCCTTAGACTTGAAAAGAGTTGATTTTAACAAACTCAGAGAGATTTTGGGAAGGATTCCACAGTTGAAAACTTTAAAAGAGAAAAAAAGGAAGCACAAAAAAATGGAAAAAGGATAAATAACAAAAGCAGAATAGCCTGAATCTGCAAATATAAAGGTAGGAAAACTAAGGGTCAGAATGAAGTAAGACTTGCAACAGATGTCAAAAACAATTTAAAAAGCTTCTTGTGATAGATAATGATGCAAGATACATTTTGATACAAGAAAAAAGTCAAAGAAACAATTGGTACACTAATGGGAGATGTGGCTGCTCCGACCCTTTGGAACGAACTCCCCATGGAGATTCGAACTCTCACCATCCTCCAGGCCTTCCGCAAAGCCGTTAAAACCTGGCTGTTCCGACAGGCCTGGGGCTAAAGAGCTGTTGCCCCCGTCTTTCGAATTGGTATGACTGTTGTGTTTTAATCATGTATTGTTTTTTTATGTTGTTTTAAATTCTT